CTCATTCAGGAATCATCATACAGAATCCACTACAATAATATGTATAATGATCATGAGGATAAGACTTGAAATTGGTCTTCACATGTTAATGTATAAATCTCTCCATCAATGAATCAATCACCTTCACATTGACTCACTGCCATGAGTACCTAGTGTGAGATGATGACCTATCTCAAATCTAGTCAACCCTTCAAAGCCCCATTTAGGTTTTGTTCAATGAACACAACACTCTCTCTACTTTCCTAAACGTCATGGAGGTGAAATTGAAGAGGAGGTATAAGGCATGGAAAGGTGAAGGAGCCTGCAGATCCTTGCATCTTTTGGGTTCTGTCTTGCATGAACTTAGGTGGTACCCTTCAGAGAACTGGTTTGCTGCCATGGCATGGGCACCATGGACTGAAAAGCTGCATGTGCAAAGGACCTAAGTTAACCACATATTCAGACCCATCTCTCTCCATAGTATGGTTGTCCTAATTCTGACCACCTAAAGTGGATCTGACCCTATAGAACAACTTCCAATGACTGGTTTCCATAGTCTTCCTCATAGATATAAATGGTGGAGGATGTCCACTCCAACCCACCATTATTCACTTATCTATCACCATCCTTCTCCTTCTGAAACCTTCTGGTCTTAACTTGCTTTACTTACCTAAATTTAGAATGCACAATAGTAATTCTGGGGTGGAACCGTGATTTTGTAACCATCCCCTTTGGGCTGGACAATCCTGGAGGGTGTTTCCCAAGGGAAAAAGTGGGGAGATGGGCATGAGGGCTTCTTTAGAAGCATCAGGCTCTAATGCAGACCATCTGAATTCCTCACCTGTTTACATCCACAAGTGGACAATGCATGGTTGCCCCTTTGCCTACCTTGGCTGCTCTCACAACTAATTAGATTCCCAGCCTGGGGGTCATGACCCTTAAGGGGGGGGCATGTGGTTTATATCTCTGGCTGCAGAACCAGAGGCTGGTATTTCAATTCATCACTGTGCCTTTTTGACAGGGGCTGGACTCAATGATCTATAGGGGCTCTTCCAGCTCTGCAATTCTATGATGATGATGATGATGATGATGATGATGATGATGATGATGATGAATGTGTTTTTTTGGTGGGTCACCACAGCTGACTTAGGTTGGTCCAGCCTCAAAAGAGGATCCATGCAGCAGGGGAGGGGAGGTAAAAAGCCTGAGAGAAGTGAAGAAATAGTGGCAGGGTTCTTGCTGCTATGTTGAGTGAGAGGGTCACCAGGTCAGTTGGGTGAAGCCACCGGGTGCCATGGAGGGCATCAGCTATAATATGAATGCTGCCATTGAAGTGCAGAAGCTTCAGGAACTGGTGAAGAAGCTTGAACAGCAGGACAAGCAGCTTCACATTCATCTTTAGTGGGGGTATCCAGAGTCTCAAGGCGATGCCCAGGCAGCCTCTCCTGAGTGAGAGCAGCTTGGCCACTGCAGAGTTTGCAACAGCAGGGCAAGACAACATGGGCTGGGAAGAAGTAGAGGGAGAGGGAGTTGGGTGGGTTGAGTTCCTGGAATACAGTACGTAAAACTAATTCTATCTTACTTGTTTAAATGTGGACCATTGTCTGCCTTCTCTTTCTCCTTGTGCAGTTTGTGGTGGGGAAGGAGGAGGAAGGCAGTGGGGACACTCCACTTTCTGCATCACTATTATACTTAAAAAACGATTTCAGTGTGTTTTCTTTCACCTCATATTAAAATAGTTTTTTAAATGTGGTGGGAGGGTTACAGGTTACATGTCGTTATTATAAATGGGGGTTGCCACTTGAAAAAGATTGGGAAACACTGATCTAAGCCATTGATTGTCAGTGCTTTAGCAAGCTGTCCTTCCTTGAATTTTGCTAAGACTGTTGGGGCGGGGGGGTCCAATAGATATTCTCCCTGACTTGCTGCCTTTGGAGGCAGAGTGGAACTTGTCAGCATTGCCTGTATTTATTCCTGTATACTGTCTTCAATTATGCCATGTTTAATATTAAACTTTGTTTAGTAGTCTTTTAATATTGTGATGTGTTATGTGTGTTTTTCTGGTTGTGTTTTTAAAAAAACATTGTGAACTGCATTGAATTCTGTGAGGGGGAAAAAGGAGGGTATAAATCAAATCAAATCAAATTTTGCACATGCCTGTTTACTCTCTGCTGTTGTTTACTCCTCTCATGTTTCAGCTTGAACACTTAAGAAAGGTCATGCTGGGTCAGATCAAAGGCTTATTTATTCCATCACTCTGTCCATACAGGGGGCCATTAGTTGCCTACAGTATTCCCACAAACTTTTTCTTCAAGTGTTAACCATTTAGAAGGAAATTGAACATTTGAGCTGGTTCCATACACACATGTATAATCATGGCCAAAAATATTGGCACCCTTGGAATTCTGTCAGAAAATGCATCCGTTCTCTCAGAAGATTGTTGCAGTTGCAAATCTTTTGGTACTCACATGTTCATTTCTTTGGTTTGCGTTGGAACAACACAAAAAACTAGTAGAAAAGTCAAATCTGATACAATCCCACACAGAAAACCAAAAATGCACTGGCCAAAATTATTGGCACCCTGTCTAAATTGTAAGAAATAATTGCTTTTCAAGCATGTGATACTCCTTTAATTTTTATTTAGACACATCTGTCGCAAGTAAGAGGTGTGGGCAATATAATTACACACAAGTAATCACTGTGGGCTAAACCGCAGAAGCCTGTCACACAGGCAATATAATTACACACAAGTAATCACACTTGCAACCAGTTAAGATGGAGAAAAGTTGACTCACCTTTTGTGTTGTATATGACAATGAGCATGGAGAAAAGAATGAAGTGTAAAGAGTTGTCTGTGGATTTGAGAGAAAAAAACTGTGGAAAAACATCAACATTCTCAGGGCTACAAGCCAATCTCCAGAGATCTTAATGTTCCTGTGCCCACTGTGCGCAATATCATCAAGAGGTTTATAGCCCATGGCACTGTAGCTAACCTCCCTGGACGTGAAGAGCAACATTACTGAAAAATTACAACAAAGGGCTGTTTGAATGGTAGATACAGAAGCAGATTAACTGCCAAACAAATTCAAGCTGATCTGCAGACACAGGGTACAACAGTGTCAGCTCACACTATCTATCGCCATCCGTTGCCATCTGAATGAAAAGGGACGCTATGGAAGGAGACCCAGGAGGACAAACATGGTGAAGGATCATAGATGTTTTTGGGTTGCTTTGCTGCTTCTGGCCCTGGAAGCCTTGACTGTGTGAACAGTATAATGAAATCTAATGATTACCAAAGAGTTTGAGGGTGCAACGTAGTGGCCACTATCAGAAAGCTGCATCTTCACCAAAGGTCATAGGTCATTCAGCAGGACAATGACCCGAAACACACTTCAAAAGGCACCCAGAAATGGTTACGAACAAACCGCTGGAGAGTTCTGAAATGGCCAGCAATGAGTCCAGATCTGAATTCTATAGAACACCTGTGGAGAGACCTCAAAACAACAGTTGGGAGAAGGCATCCTTCAAATCTGAAGGCCGCTTCTCTGTGTTTTTGTGTTGTTCCAACGCAAACCAAAAAAAAAATGAACTTGTGAGTACCAAAACATTTGCGACTACACTGATTTTCTGAGAGAAGGGTTGCGTTTTCTGACAGAATTGCAAGGGTGCCAATATCTTTGGCCATGACTGTTATTCCCTTGATTATTTCCAACACTGTTACCACCAGCAACAGCATCACCACCATCTGTGGCAGTTTCATGGCGAACTGGCAAAAACAACACCATTTAAGTGTTGTTTTTGCAGCGATGTGGAAGTTATTTGTGTGTTGCTTAATCCAAAATATTCATTCACATAGGACACATGCCGCTAGGTACATACATGTGACATAGGTGTGAAGATTCTCAGTCATTCAGGTGAGGCTATCTGGAAGCTGAGTCATGGCAACTGGGCTTCTTTCTTGTTAGGTTGAAACATTTCACTACTCATCCAAGCAGCTTCTTCAGTCTGAGAGTTGGTAGGAGATCCTTGATATATTCTCCAGGTTGGTTTTACTCCCCCCTGGTCCGAATAGGCTCCTTAGAAGGACAAAAGGACTGGGGGGTGAGGGGTAATCCCACTTCTTCGGTTGTTCTCCACCCATTGTCGTGCCCATGCACTTCAAACCCACAAACACACTTCAAACCCACAAACACACTCATCCACCCAAAAGACCGGAAACCGAAACAGCAGGAGCAATATAGTGTATGTGGTCCAACGCAAAGAAGAGTGTTCAGAGCTCTAAACTGGAGAAATCAAACAGCCACTAAACAGGAGAATGACCCTGCACAGGAGGGGCAATTGCTCAGGACCACAATCAGCAGTGTTACTTAATTTGAAGGACAAAGGACACTCATTTGATAACCAAGATATACTCATTTTAGACCGAGAAGATAGATGATTTGAGAGAGGGGTCAGGGAGGCCATGCATGTGCATATAGAAAATCCCTCACTTAGCAGGGGTGGAGGCCTTAGATACAATCTGTCTCCAATTTATCCTGCTGCCCTTTCATCTGTCCCCAGAAGGATTAGGGACACAGACAAAAAAGATCAGTGTTAAGGACCTTCAGAGAACCATGACAATGAGTGGAGAAGGACTGCAGAAATGTGATTATCCCTCACCCCGAGGCCTTTGTCCTTCTAAGGAGCCTATTCAGACCAGGGGGAAGTGAAACCAATGTGGAGGATATATCAGGGATCTCCTACCAACTCAACTCAGACTGAAGAAGATGCTTGGATGAGTAGCAAAACATTTCAACCTAATAAGAAAGAAATCCACCTGCCATGACTCAAATTCCAAATACACATCTTTGACCTAGCCTGAAGTCTTACAGAGCAGGGAGGGCAATCAACTGGGCTTATGGCTACCTGCCTGAGGAGATTTAAGAGCAGAAGCAGTTGCTAGTGGGAGGTAGGAATAGCTTGGTGTCGATGCTGATGTGTTTTTCTCTCTCTCTCTGCTAACCTGGCTCCATCCATTTCAGAGCTGCAGTGATGTGCTTCAGGAGAGATTTGCTGTTGAGATGAAGTGCAGTGTTGCTTTGCGGCTGGCTGCATTGCACATACAGGAGCGGATCATCACTTGTGCTCAACCACAGAAAGTATCTCTGAAGTACATAGAGTAAGTAGAAATATGCATTGTAGTGAATTATGAATGCTTTAAAAAAAGGAAAAAGAGAAGTATTCCCGGATAATGCAGTCATGTGCCTTTCCCTAGTAAAGGTATCCATGCTACGGCTTGAGTTCTACCTTTAGTTGTTATAAAGGTCTAGCTCAGTATGGCTACCTTAGTATACCTACTAGATTGTTACCATTCCTCTTTGAATGGGCCAGGATTTTGCATTAGGGACACCTCAGATATAAGGCTGATATATTTCCTATGTGGCAAGCACTTTTATATAGTAAATACAGTGGTACCTTGCAAGACGATTACCCCGCAAAACGATGAATCCGCATGATGACGGGGTTTTGCGATTGCCATTGTGCTTCGCAAAACAGTGTTTCCTATGGACGATTTTCGCTGGACGATGTTTCGGTCTGTGCTTTGCAAGACAGGTTTTTTTTTCAGGACCGATGCTTTGCAAGACGACGATTTTTACAGCTGATCGGTGGCTCCACAAAATGGCTTCCTATAGGCGATTTTCGCAAAACGGGTGTTTTTGGGACCGACGCGTCACAAGACAGCAATTTGTACAGCTGATCGGTGCTTTGCAAAATGGCTTCCCTGTGGGTGATTTTCGCAAAACGACTACTATTTTCCCCATTGGAACACATAAAACGGATTTCAATGTATTCCAATGGGGAATTGCATTTCGCAAGATGATGTTTTTGCTAAACAGCGATTTCAATGGAACGGATTTATCATCGTCTTGTGGGACACCACTGTACTATGAAACCTACTCTTGGTCTTGGTGACAAGAACAAGAGATAATGCCTTCACATTAGTGGAGTTCCCATATCTAGGATATAAGATTAAATCTTCCTTGTTAATTTGCAGGCAAGGCTTGAAGACTTTTATTTTGAGTTGTTCTTCAGAAGCAGAACACTTTTACACAATATTAGCCATATCTTCTCCCTGTCCCCACCCTGACTTTATTAAATTGGCTATTGTTATATTAGAAAAGCCTGTCTGTTTCCCAAAACTTAGCAATTAATCATATTGCTACAAATACTGTACAAAAAGTATTTTATCTTTTTGTTTCTTTTTACATTTTTCATATATGTTAGTAAGAGAAACCCTGGGCTTAACAGCAAAGATAGTCTCTCAGAACGTCTATGTCACATTTATATTCTTGATCCAAACTCTAGTAATGCTGATTACTCTAAATTCAAGAGCTTTGACAAGGATGTTCTCCAAGCCTTTTTTTTCCCCATCCAGTTTGTCTTTGTTTCAGGAAAGACTGGGGAATAGAAAACTTTATTTCCCCAACACTGCTCCGAAACATGAGAGGCAAGGACATCAAAAAGGCCATTAGCTTTCACATGAAGAGGAATCAGCTTTTGCTGGATCCAAGACAAAAGGTAATGTGGCTTTAACACATCTGTAAAGTATTGTCTACTGAAAAGCAGTAGATGATCTTAGGCTATTAGACCAAGATAATTTGTTATAGCTGAACGAACCTGTTCTATGATCTTAGCCAATATACCGGGACAGCTTCTGTAACTGCTAGATTTTCTGCTCCAGATTTATAATAGATTAAAAATCAGAAGATGCCATGAGAAAGAGAGACTGACTTGTATATGTGTACATGATGCAATCTGAATAGTGTGTTCTGAAGCTTCTGGAATTGTTCCTATGTTAGCTTCTTAAAGAGGAGTGATACATACAGAAGTGTGATAGTAATCGCTGTTAACTGGTTCCAGCATAATTATTATAGTTACTCAGCTGGAATGTCCTCTCCAGCACTCTTTTGTCCTCACTCCTAGCAAAGTAAAAGGTTACAACATCCCTTCAAAGGTATCCTGCAATTTTTCTTGCTAGCATCACTAAGGAAACCACAACCTCAGCTGTCTTGCTTCCTTGTTTTCTCTGGAAACAGCTGTTTTCCCCCACTTCCCTGAAGAAAACACAGTGAGTGTTTTCTTCTTCTCGGCAAGAAACAGTAACACAAACGTAATGATGAATGAGCAGAAGCACTGATCTCAGTTGCTTAAACAAGAGAGAGCTGTTAAGGCAGTTGTTGGCACATGTACAGTGGTGCCTCGCGTTACGATTGCCCCGCATTACGACAAATCTGCTTAACAACGATCTTTTTGCGATTGCAATTGTGATTGCAAAACGATGGTCTAAATGGGGGAATTTCGCTTTGCGATGATCGGTTCCCTGCTTCGGGAACTGATTCTTCACAAAACAGTGTTTTTCTAACAGCTGATCGGTGGTTTCAAAATGGCCACCGGGTAATTAAAATGGCTCCCCGCTGTGTTTAGGGACAGATTCCTCGCTATACAGGCAGCGAAAATGGTTGCCGTATGGAGGATCTTCGCTGGACAGTGAGTTTTTACCCCATTGGAACACATTGAATGGGTTTCATTGTGTTTCAGTTGGGTTTTTTATTTTGCTTTACAATGTTTTCACTTAACGGCAATTTTTCTGAAACGGATTATCATCGTTAAGCAAGGCACCACTGTAATCACTACTGTACATAGGGAATTCTGTATTCTAGGAATATTAGTAGTGTTTCCTTGAACAGCTTTATGATGTGGGTAAACATTATAGATACAGGACAGTATTAATGGCTAATCTCAACAATTGCAGCACCGCCTCTCAGCAGCACAGGTCCGTCTGAGTTACCTCCAGATTCTTGGAGATCTGAAACTTTATGGTGGAAAAATCTTTAATGCCACTCTCATGGTAAGGCTATTTTATGTGATAAGCCAGTATTCTGTTTATGCATTATTTCCAGTGCAGAAATGTGAAGTTTTCTATTACTGTATGTCCAAATTGGGTGTGGATTAGGATCCTGCAATGATCCATAGCATATTTTTGTGGGTCACCAACAGCACCAGTTCTGTCATTAGACAGGGGAGGCTGCTTCCTTTAAAGAGCATGTGGAGAGTGGGGGAAAACAAAACAGCTGTCTGGGTATTCAACCTGAGAGTCCTAGTTGAAGGACTGCCAGCTGGTATGCTCTGATTCCCGAATTCAGCCTCTTGTCTCAGCTAAGATCTGATGAACGATGACATGTCACCATCAATACTGATGGAAGATCAATTGGCAATCCGATTGGCTTCTGTAGGTGGAGTTGTTAAGGAGGGGATATCTTGCTTTTTTGGTCAGGCAGCAAAACAGCTTACAAAACATCTTTGGCCATTAAGGACACAGAGAATCGAAGGAACAGACTGAATTCTGTATGTGGAAAGCACTAAACTGATGCAAAACATCCCAACTGAGGGAATACTTGTAATGAACCAGTTTATTTAACAATGTGCCTTTCATATGGTATTTTATATTTATTATTTACCAATAACTCTACATATTAAATATCTATGTATTTAATACCACTTGTCATTTTAAGGTATTAGTTGGTATATTAAAAAGTGTCCTGATACAATGTATCATAGCATTATGCGATTAAAAAGCAAAGAAACAGAAAACAAGAAACAGCTGACATCACACAGTTTAATACAGTAGGACTTCAGTATCCACGGGGGATTGGTTCCAAGACACAAAGCCCTTGTGGATGCCAAAAAGCACAGAAATAGCAAACGCTATAAGTTCCTTGGTCTCTGGCTCCCTCTAGTGGCCAGTTCTGTGGTAAATACACATGGGAGGGGTGTTAATTGCATTTTTTTCAGGCAATGGATACGTGAATCTGCAGATACTGATCCCACGGATGGGGGGGGCGGTTTCCTACTGTAAACCAGTGTAAAATCCTGGGGCAAGCAAATAGGTTTGAAGGAGCCTCATGGTGCAGTGGATAAACTGCAGTGAAGACTCTCCTCTTGACCTGAGTTCCAGTCTGGGCTTGGGTAGCTGGCTCAAGGTTGATTCAACCTCCCACTCTTCCAGGGTGTGTAAACTGAGTACTCAACTCGTCGTGGTGGTGGTGAAATGTGTAGCCTGCATAATTAACTTGTAAACCAGAGAGACCTTTAAGCACTAGGGGGTGGTATATAAGCAGCACCCTTTGCTTTGATATTGAAAGGAATGCAATGTCAGTGCCAGTCACACCTCCATAGGAAGAATGTTCCATAGTTGTGAACCATAAGAGGGACGGTTTCCTCCCTTTTTGTCACATGGTATGCCAACAGGATAGAAAAGGGTCCCCATTTGGTTCATTTCATTTCCGTTTACATCCTTCCACCTGGACCAGGGCTCATTCTGCATGAAAGATCTATGCTCATATGGCTTCTTGCACTCTTGCCCTAAGATGCTTCTCAGAAAGCCATTCGGGTCATTTTTCACCTCTCCCAAAAGACTCCTCCACAATCCTATTCTTTCAGTTTAACCCTTTTCTCCATCTGGTTTTTAATTTATAATCTTCACTCATTATAGCACATAACAGAAAAGTAATATTAAAGAGGGAATGCAACATCTTCGAAACCTACTCAGCAGCTTCTTTCGGGAGTTGATGTCAGGGAGCTGACAGCAGTAAATGAATAGATGTGGTCAGATTGCAGTTCCACTTCCTTCTTGATTGGCCCTGTGAAGAGCAGCCAACAGGGTTGTTCTATATAAGCATCACCTCCCAGGGAAGCCAAGAGAAAGAACAAAATATGTCCTCCCTTTATTGACAAGGACTGATTTGAATTGAATTGTCACATTTGCTATGTGAAGGCTTATTCGCACATGTAAATAATTTATATGAAGCATATGTAAACTTTAAGACTAATAAGGCCTTTGTAAGACCTTTCTTTTCCATGTAGTTACAGGACAGAGAATCATGTATAACCCTCTTGGTGGGAGCCAAATATGGAATCAGTCAAGTCGTAAATAACAAACTCAACATCATAACCATGCTGGCAGAATTTGCTGACATCAGCAGACTGGAGCTTACCGAAGAGTCTGAGAAAGTAAGCATGGTAAAAATCTACCTCCAAGATATAAAGGTAAGTATCATTTTAACAATTTGTTTGGATGTAAAAGGAGTGAGATGTCATCTTCCAAAATGCACAATTCTATGTTGTAGCAGTGAAGAGGATAGTAGAAATTTTGTTGTTATTTGCCATCAAATTCCTTCTGACGTGTGGCAACCCTAGTATAGTTTTTGAGGTATATGACATATTTCAGGAATAGTTCACAATTGCAACCCCCCAAGAGAGTTACCATGGCCACCCACTGTGGGATTTCACTATTCCTAATAATTAAGTTAGCTGGATAAGTTATCTAGCTGTGGAGATAGGAGATCAATTCTTCAATGTGCCTTCTAGGATGACAGCCAGCTTATGTAGCCTTGGGCAAACGACACATTCTTCTTCATGGTCTCTGTGAATGCACACTAATGGGTTAATCTGCGCCTACGCAGAGGTTTCTGGAATCTTCTAGAACTTAACACTCATTCACCAGGACATGTGGTCCACCTGTCCTGCTAGTGCCTCAGTTCCTTTTTGCCACCACTGAGGTTCCTTTTCATATGAGCTGCGTTCGCCTCCTGCTTTCAAAAATTTTTGAAATGTGCTATGTCATCCTCCAAGCACTCAGTACTGCGCACCGAACCTGCTGCCTGTCCGCAGGTTTGCCCATCATCAGTTAAGGTCACTACCACCTATACTGGTCCTTCACCAGTATCTCATGAGATCACTCATGCTCATCAATCTAATCGAGCTTAGCCACATAAACCTACCATTCAGGATCAAGCTCTCTCTGTATTTTATCGTTGGGAATCTGCAGGGGCCACAAGATGAAAGTCTTTAATTACCAAAAATTGCCACTGAATTTTATCATTGGGAATCTGCAGGGGCCAAAAGATCAAAGTCTTTCATTACCAAAAAATTGCCACTGCCATGATCCTCCTCCTTTCCCACAGCCCCCCAAGGGCTCCTGACAATAAAGGGGATTGATTATATGGGAGCCGTGGGTACCTTGGGACAGAAATAGGAAATGTTTAATGTATGAAAACTTGTCTTAGCTGATGATATCATCAGTCTTATACAGTGTGACTTACAAGAGCAGGCTTTCAGCCACTGAAACAGATTTCTTAGTCTTAAATGTCTCACAATAATTAGTTACTGTTTTTGTATTTGTATGTGGCAAGACACGCATGAACAAACCCGTATACAGAGAGATATAAAATATATACAAATATTGTGCCTGTAGGTGTGCAAAGGATAAAAGTCGTCAATAATCTATCCCATAAGGTCAATGCTATGTTCATGAACACCTTTTGTTTCCGCTCCCTTCCTTCAAAAGGTGCTGACTCTGATGCTAGAATCGAACAATGCCAAAGATCTGGCTTGTCGCATCAGTGGCTACTACAGGCTGTTTGTTGATTCAGGCCATTCCATATTCATCTTGGGGGAGAAAAAAGCCCAGATGCACCGCTTCTCAGCAGAGGAGGGTAAGACCCCGGCCGACCTGAACGACCGAATGACAGGGAGGAACCTTGCAGTCTAGGAGAACAGCTGTGCGAAATGATACCCACTGTCAAAAAATACAGGCAAGAGAGAGAGTGTTCCTTGCCACAGTGTTGTCCCAGTTTGTGCCAGGCCTTCTTTTTTTTTCCCCCATGAGGAGTGGTAGCTGTTCATTTTATCTTCTCAACAACCCTGTCAGGTAGGTCAAGCTGGAAGGGTGTGACTGGTCCAATGTTACCCGGTGAGTTTCAAGGACAAATGAGACTAGGAAGCCGGCTGCCCTAAGTCATAGAACAGAAACTCTGACCACTACACCCTACTGCCTGTCTGTTAAACAGAATGAAGCAACCTCAGAGATCAATCCCTGGCTGGACCCTCAGCCATTCCCCTTTCTCAAAGGGCAGAACAGTAGGTGTCACAAAACGTGCTTTTCACTCCCTGAACGACTTGCTTACTACCCTCCAAGGGATCAGAGGGCATGTTCTCTGACAGCCAGAGTTCAGGTACGTTTCAACTGTCTGCCCAGCCAGGGTGTGTACATGGCAAGGAATGGCAGGCCAGCTTGTCGATTGCCTCAGGCAGCAAAATGTCTTGAGCAAGCCTATTTACTTCATATTATTGGAGGGGGGGTTACATCATGTCATGCTTTCTGCTCTTGTGGCCATTCAGTAGTAAGGAAACAACATTCTGCAGGTGCTCAGAGACATTCTGTTTCACCCATGGCAGGCCTGAGTCTTGCTGTCGAACATGGGTTCTGTTTTATGGCAGGGAGTATCCCTGATGCTGGAAAAGCTCTAGGCCAGATTCGGAAGGAGGAGCCAGTTTCCAAGAACCCCTCTGTAACGTGGCGAGCCACTCCAAAGTCACTGCCAACTCCAGGCCTCTCAGAATGCCCACCACGCCACTACACACTCTTGCTGCCACCAACCTTTCCTTTAAATAAAAAGGACAAGAGTTTCTTTCAAAAATAAAACTGGTTTATTGATTACAAAATAAAATATGAAAATCACTGGAAGATAACCACGATGTAAATTACTTTCTCAATTTAATTAAACATAGACTTTCCCTCATTGACACTCAGGAACGCAGGCCTCTAACAAACTCTCTCACACTAGATCACTCCAGATCTCACTCTCTCACTCAGTCAATCTCCTCTACACACACCTTCACCCTCCTTTTTATACCAGCTCCTCCCCTTCAGTTCCACCCTCCGTCACACCATTGGCTGATGATTCACTGCCCAGCTGTGACGGACAGGTGAGGTCATGGCTACCCGTTACACCCTCTTTGTCTGTTTTGGCTTGCAGGGTATGAATCCAGGACCTGCAGTGACTCCGAAGACTCTTCAGAACAGGACTCCTCCTTAGACCGGTTTTCAGACACTCACTCCCCCAAGCTCAGCAACAGCGACCCCTTGACTGAAGAGGAAAGAGAGCAAGAGTTGCTGGGGCAAGAAAGAAGTGCAACAGGGGGCAAAAAGATGAGCTTTTGCAATGGGTACGACAATACCAATGACAGCTTGTCGGAAACCTCTGACTCAGCCAACACAGAGAGCCGAGGTCTTAAGACCAGTGGCTCCAGTGACTCTATGGATGCCCTGGAGGAGGATGATTTGGAAACATGCTCTTCAAGCAGGCCAGAGTTCTCCTATTTTTACACCCCGACTCTTCAGGAGTTAACAAGCCATGCCCAAGCCTTCTCAGGTCCGGATGGAGCAGAAAAACCAACAGCAACTCAGGAGTATTTCTTTTCTTTCCTCCTGCCACCCCATTTATCCAATTCTGCACTCGCACAGCCCGAAGGAGAATTCAGAAGAGAAGGTGAAACCAGCGCTTCCACTCTGGAATCCAAGTTGGCAGCGAACAATGCCATGGAGTACTACAGTCTCTGTGCCAACATCTCCCCGGCCAGCAGCGGAGAGAAGAACACGCAGAGCGACAGCCTCGAGGGGAGCTTGTTGAATGGCACAGGCGGTGGCGTGGAGAGAACGTGTGATGGGGAAAGGCGGGGCTTTCTCTTGGCTCCTCCCCCTGGCTTTGGAGACAGCAGCTCGGATGACGAATTCTACGATGCAGCAGAAAGGATGACGCCGACAGAGATGCAAGCAGGTAAGCCAGAAGGCAAGGATCTACTCCAGTTAAGTATGAAGTGACGGCTCTCAAGAACTGTTTCTACAGAGGTGCCATTTTGACAGTGTGTGTGTCTGAGTGCAGAGTTCAGCAAAAACACTGCCAGTGTCTTCATAGATTTTGGAATTCAGTTCAGTGAAAACGGCCACTCTGAGATATTTCATACAGAACAAATCTTATCCCTGTGAAAGGCATTGGATTTGATCCGGTAGTCTTCTTTGGTGCCCCTAGGATACATTCCCCCCCCCTCAAAAAAAATACAATCATTCTGATGTTCATTATTATTGCTAAGCAGTCATATAATATTTTGAAGTTTTTAAGCTTCATATAAGTAGTTTTCATAATTCCTATAATGATTGTGTAAGTAGTTTGTTAATATTATTGCACAGTGGCTCATCTTAGACCAGTTTGTTTTTGTTAAACCGTCAAGTCATTTTTGATTGTAAATTATTGAGTAACTGGCCTCCAGAAGGCCCTGTCATTAACCACCCTGCCCAGATCCTGCAAACTTAAAAGCACTGACTCCTTCATTGAGTCAGTCCATCTCATAGTAGATCTTCCTCTTTTTTTCTAATTTGTTCCAAGCACCCTAGAATTAGTCTTTGCCCATGAGTATTGTCTTCTCTACAACTATAACAGAAAGGTGATTTGAAACTGGAGCTTCCCAGTTCCCAGGTGACTCTCCTGGCTAGGCTTTTCAGGCAAGAACATCACAAATGACCTGTTCATACGAACTGCAAGAATAGAGCCAGTGGTCTTGAAGACAGTACCCACAATCACCGCATCTGAAGATGCAGTCTCTGCTGGGCTTGGAACAATTTCTGTTGTCCTTCACCCTTGGCCACGCTGGCTAGAGATGGTGGAAACTTGAGTCCAGTGACATCATCACCATCATTGCCATCAAGTCGATTCTGCCTTATGGCAATCCCTTTTCAAGGTTTTATAGGAAGAGAGTACTCAGAAGTGGTTTACCATTCCCTCCTTCTGAGGCCACTCTGGGACTGTGCCGCTTGTCCAAAGCCAAACAGCCTGTCTCTTCTCCCAGGATTTAAACTTTGGGGAATTGAACTCCTAATTTCTGCCTCTGCAGCCAGCCTTTACCTTACTCACTAAATTATCCAGCCAACCTAGTGACATCTATAGGTCTACAAATACAGTGGTGCCTCGCTTGATGAGGATAATCCGTTCCAGCGAAATCGCTGTAGAGCGAAATTCTCGTTAAGCGAAACAAAAAAGCCCATTGAAATGCATTGAAACCGGTTCAATGCGTTCCAATGGGCTAAATACCTCAGCGTCCAGCGAAGATCCTCCATAGGGCGGCCATTTTCAGTGCCTGCAAAGCGAGGAATCCGTCCTGAAAACACAGCAGGGAGCCATTTTGCACAGCGGGCGGCCATTTTAGAGCCGCTGATCAGCTGTTTCAAAATCATCGTTTAGCGAAAAATCGGTTCCCGAAGCAGGGAACTGATCATCGTTAAATGAATTTTTACCATTAATACATCATTTTGCAATACAAAAGCAATCGCAAAAACTTCATCGTCAGCCTAGTGACATCTATAGGTCTACAAATATACTGGACAGGTCTTAAACTGTCATTTGCAGGAAAGTTTTTGAAGTTGTCCATTAATACATCATTTTGCAATACAAAAGCAATCGCAAAAACTTCATCGTCAAGAGGTTTCGGCGTTTAACAAAGTAAACATTAAGCGAGGCACCACTGTATATTGGACAGGTCTTAAAATGTCATTTGCAGGAAAGTTTTTGAAGTTGTGTGTTTGTGCTCACATGCATGCGTTTCTTTGCTTTTGGGCTGCTGGTTTTAAGGAACAATCATTTGTCCAGAAAATGTTATATTTTTTTCCTCTCCATGTTATTAGCCTCTTCTTTATTTTTAGGTGCTGAAGGTTCTTGCGACGGTTTGGGTGAACAAGGGCTGTTGCGGCAAAGCAGAAGAACAAAGCACAGACCTGAAAAGGCACCTTGGTGTGCTAACAGCCTAAGGAAAAGGAGATCTTTCCTCCAGACTCATTTTACCTCCCAAGTCAGTTTCCCTGTCGCTCCACCTCACACTCAAGAGAACACCGATCATGCATGCTCTGATGGAGAGCCTGTCCTTTCAGGCACTTCAGGCTCACCCGCTGTGGTCTGTTTCAGGGACCTTAAGACTGATTCCGATCTTTTTGAAGCTCAACAGCTAGACCAACTGGCCGAAAATAAAAGTGCTTCATCTGATTTAATGGAGAGGGAGCCAGATTCATTAGACATGAAGGCAGTAACTGATCCAGCGGTGTGTCCTGTCTCCACTACCCAGGCTCCCCAGGAAGGCAGAGAATGCTCAGATTTCGCCTGTAGCTCTTCAACAACAGAGACACATGACCGTTCTTTTGTCTCTTCCTCCAACTCAGACAGCCTTCATACTTGTTTGAGTACGTTGGAAGTCTCTGTTCAGCTAGAAGATCCCAGCGCTGCTTGCAGAGAAAAAGCAGAAGAGATTGCAAGAACAGCTGGTGGAATTCAGGAACACTGTAGAACAAGCACGGAGCACGATGTAAATGAAACATCACAAACAGCGAAAGCCTTGCCTGAAACAGGAATTAGCTATGTATTGATTGAGGAAATAATACACACAACTACCAAGCCTTCACGGTCTCCGAGTGACAAAAAGTTGTCTTATGGGCCATCCTCAGATCATGATCTTCTGTCTTCTGAGAAGGTGCAGAAACGTGAACACCTTGTGCTAAATCCAGGCAGTTCTGAACCTGTGGCAAGACAGGTGCTTGGAAGCTTACTGCCCCAGGAAAATACCAACAGAATGCCAAGTGAAGCCTCCTCAGAAAATTCCGAGAATAACCAACACCTGGACGTCGCAAATGCAACTAAGCTGCTTTCTAATAGTGATGATACTTCAGGGGTAGGGATGCGCCTCTCCTGGCCTGCTTCTAGCTCAATGGTAGACCATCTAGGAAAATGCCAGCAGACAGATGACAATCTTGAAGCAATTGTTAGCCAAAGCATCCCAGATGTAAATCCACTCTCTTTAAAAGATGGTGAACTACATCAAATGCCACACGATTTACCAGCTGTGCCTGTGAGGCCTTCTGAAGGTGATGGTGGCCAGAAGGTGGAGGAAGACATCATCAGAGGAGAAATTCTTGATGTGAATTATATACTGACTAGTTCACTAAATGTTTCTGAAGAGGAGAGTAAGGACCAGAGAAGAGCTGTCAGGTCAGATGGGCTAGACTACATGTCCCTTGACAGTTTGTATAAGCCTACAGAGCCTGGTGAGGAAAGCAGAGTTTCAAATCTTAATGGCAAAAAGTTGTGTTCTGATAATGCAACAGAAGATACTAACACACCTAATGTGAGTTCTCATGCTGTGGTGAATGTTAACGAGACAGTCGCATTAGAACATAAAACGGACAGATGCAGTTGCCGGTTGACTTACACAAGTTGTTTCTCTGGGCCAGACAATGAGGCAGAATTAGACTATGTCAATCCCATTACATATGGTGCTTCTGAGGGGCCATTAACAACCCCACCATCAACCAAAGGCCCAGTATCTCTAGATTTGAATCCCACCGGACTCACTCAAGAATGCAACAGTGTTGTTAATGGTAACTCCGGGGACAGTAACAGGTGGCTTCCCGAAACTCATACAAAAGTATTGGGTCATATAAAAGACAGAATGTGTGTCTCACCATTTGACTTCTGTCATTTGTTAGACAATGTGGTGGAACTTCAGGAGATTCTGAAGCAGTTTTGGGGCAGCAAAGTAAAACACCCTCGAGATGAATGCTCAGCCCACTTTTCTGAAAACAAGAATACCTTGTTTGAGGAATTGCAAAGACTGACATCTAGTTGCCAGAAAGTTATCAAAACACAGAGGCCTTCCTCAGAGACACACAATGCTGTTCAGGAGAGCTTCCAGAACCTTCTCCAGCTGACGGAAACGTGCCTCCAGTTCACAACCTGTGGCCTGTGCAGCAGGAGGCACAAAGATCTCATAGTCAATCTGAAGGACGCCATATGTAGCTATCACCAGTTTGTCCAGGCAGCCAAGCAGGCATGTGAAAGGAATTATCCCAGCTTGAGTGTGAAACTCCTCGTATGCCAGTACACTGCTCTCACTGCAGCCCTCTTCTGCCTTGTGCAACAATTCAGGGCACCATCCTGTGTATGAGACAGAGGTCTTGTTTACCTGCCTCTTCATTCTGCTGCTATCTCATCCTGTGACGGGGAAATATCCAGTCAGCTTGTGCTGATAAACCTGTGCTCTTGTGGAACAGAAGAGATGCATAACAGCTAGGCCACGGTCAGCCATGCAATGGTTTGGTCTCATTCTTAAATGGATATTATAGTTTAAATTAGCCAAAGTCAACAGGATGAGTTATTCTCCCTATTGAAATGTACTTGGGTGCATGTCGTTTGCTTTGCTCCTGTGCCATGGGTGAAGAACACACAAGAACCACCTCTTTTGCACTGACTCAGGGTCCTTCCTGATACGAACAGCTGCTGTTCTATACGCATGTAGTACCAAGTTTCAATTTGTGGCTAGCCATGAATGCCAGCTGAGCTTGAATGCTATACTAAAAAATGCTTTATGCTAAAACTTTTGTATGCGCTAATTTGTGGAAACAATTGACCACAGCTGAAGAAAACACATCAATGAACCAGAATCTGGGTTTGGATGCTTAATCTATGCAAATACGGAGGGTGGGTGTCCAAAGATATGTATGCATGAGCGTGTTTGCCCTGACTAATGTGGCTCTGATGGAGAAGACTTGGGTGTGTCTTCTACTTAATGGATCTTTTAAGTGATTTGCTGTCCACACTAGTCTTTCATCAATGCCCAAGGCTGACAGGGGTCAACACAGGGTGAGTGTTGACTATGCAGACCTCATGACCCTTAAGAATAACAGTGGCGGGATACAATCACAGGCTTCAGATGCCACAATGGGGAGTTCAGAAGGCTTATTTCTGGGCAAACTTTCTCATGGACTTAAGACCCTTTGAAAAAGTATTCCACTAAGCTACAAGTGTTCTGAAAACATTAGACATTGTAAGGTTCTTAGTGGCTTGTTGCTACTCATCCCTTCTCTTCCTATATGCTGTTACTAGTATTTCAAGGCCCAACTCAAAACGCATCCTATTGATTTTTTGAATGATGGGCCTCATGTGAATGTATTCTTACCACCATCTCTACCTATATGATGCATCCAGTATGGACTGAGCTGTTGTCTATCAAAGTTTGTGCCACAATAAAAACAGTTAGTTTTGCCATATAAAATGTTGTGTCTTGATCCTCATATTTGAAAGGATACCTCCATAAAAGTAACAAGCTGCGGAAATTTGGTGCATGCGGTCAAAATGGGGATACAGGGACCTTCCTAAATCTAATACACCTTTTATGCAGCTGCTACACACCAGAAAGTAACAAATACTGTTCTTTGTCTACTCAGAGGTAAGCCCCATTGAGTAGCCCTTGCCTCCAGACAGATGTAGAGCCTGAGGTTCTGCTGAATCTATGCAAACAGCTTTGTGCTTGAAGGAAAATTATGTAGATGCACACAGGAATTCAAAGACTTTTATCTTCTAAACTGGGTAGGGAGTTGTATGATAGTTTGCAGTCCAGTTTATGGACCCCTAAAAATGATATTTGAGAAAAGGCAGACATATTATGTTAACATGTTTTAATGCAAGACAATTACATTATCATGAGTTTTACAGTGTAACTTATTCTATCAAGGCAGAGTTCTTTCTGTTCTAAACAACCAAAGCAAGTTACAAGAAAACACAGTCATTTTGCCGTATTACAGCAACAACTGCTCTCACAATATGGATCTCATCAAAAAACTAAATAGTTCCCTTGCCCCTAAGAGCTACTCACCCACCTATGATGGGATACTTGTTTATTTAAAGAAGTTTATTAGATTTTCCTCCACTACCATCTTGTTACCAGTGGCTTACAAGCATTTTGGTAACATGGAAGCCATTTTTAAAAAGTTAATTCCTTCACCTAATGTAGGCGCACAAAGAATGCAGAAGTGGTTGGTCCCAGTCTTTTCAAGAAAGCACGACAATCAGAAGCAAGCTGGATGTTATTGAAGACATCTGCCTCGCTGCCACCTTCTTCTGTGTTTGGACACTGACTCCTTTTGTCACAAGGTTCTGTCTTGGAAGACATATCCTTTTCCAGGGGAAACTGCAGCTTTGAGGGCTTCTACCCAGCTCTTGGTCTCACGGAAAGTCAATAAGGCATCAAACACTAGGAAAAACACATTTCATTACTACAGAGATTACTGGGAATTGAAAGAAGTGTGGGATACCAAAGTGGCAAAATCCTTTTTGATTATTAAAAAGCAACAGTCACTGTCTACGTTGTCCTTATGGAATCCATTCCAGTTTCTAGCAAAGATTTAGAATATTAACACAAATAAGCCAAAAATCTGTTATATCTTACTAGTGTGCCAGAAACGAGACCATCCTCTCCAAAGCCATTTTCAGTTCTGAGCCAGAAGTGGAGAATATGTGGCCCTTCTCTGGATGTTGCTGGAAGTGCAGCTTCTAATAGCCGTAGGCAGCCTAGCCAATGTTAAGGGGTTGATGGAAGCTGTAGTCCCAACATCTTCTAGAGGACCACATGTTCCTCAGTATGGTTTTACATTTACCTACTATCCCAAAGCGAAGAGTTCCCTGTGATTTCTCCCTTAATGCCATTCTACCCAATACAGTTCTGCATTAAGAGTATTGCTGGGGTCTGGATTTGATCTTTTCATGAGGGCGGCAAAACTCAAAGGAGAGCTCTCGGTACAACACTCTTGCCTGAACTGCAAGGCTTTATCATGATATCTCTCATATGATAGTAACAGCATCCTGAGTTGACGGGAAGCCCACTACCTATAAGATATACTCAAATCAGCTTTTATCAAACAGTTCAAGGGCTTCACCTTGGTTGATGGCTAATGTTGTCGAATGATAGTTTTTTGCGTTGATGTTCTTTACCATATACTCTTGGATGGGCAGTCGTGCTGTTGGCAGTTGTTCCTCCTGAGCTCTCTGAAAGGTGAGTCTCTGCTTGTGCAAATTGTAGGCAGTGGGGGAAAAAAAAACACACGCAAGTGGTCACTGAAACCATTTCCCACAGGAGCCTATGAACAAGTCCCTATGTGACCCAAAGCCTTTAGGTGAGTGTAGCAGCTGTCAATAGCTGCAACACTCATCCAGCAGAAAACGTTCCCAACTCTTTCTGAGCACTGCCACCCACTGATTAACATGACCCCACACTAGCAGCACAAGGTGTTTTGCAGCAGCAAACAAGAACCAGGACCTGACAATGATTCTTAAGGAATGTGTAGTTTCTAAAGGATATCATATCACCTGTTGGCAAAAAAGATGAGGAGGGCGGATCCTCTGTAACCTTCTGGATACAGAAAGTTAAATCAAGGATCTAGCACACTCTTACTAGCAGCAACCAACCTGCTCTGGTTCTTTACCTCATTGAGCCTGTACTCAGCCTCTTCTAGGGCTCCCAGAGCTTCTAAAAACCAGAGGTTCTGTTTAACTATGGTGACCACTCATTTTAACTAGAAGGTTGTTTGGGGCTGGGGCCCCAGTAGTGTAACATTCATGTATCCTTATTGGCTTTATAGCAATGGGAACAGGAGCTGCAGCTTGTTCAAAGGCCAGGAAAGCCCTATCTGGTCATTGCTATACAACTACTGAATGGCACAGCATTGCATCTGATACATGTGTGTGCAGACCGTCTACGGTACTCTTGTAAAAACATAGACCAATACAGAGGTTACAGAGCAAAATGAACTGCCTCTGGCTGTTTCTTCTAAACAGCAATCAAAGACCATTAACGTGTACACGGACACTTGCCTTCTGAATGCTTTCATCCACCAGACCTCCAAGGATATACACCTTTTGGGGATCCACTTCCTCAAGAGCTAGAATCCGAGGGTTGTGGAGATATGAAATATCAGTGACATAATCACACAATAACATCAAAAGAGCAGTTTTCTTCTAAAAATGATAATAGTATCATGAAGTTGAAGCACTCTCATAATGAGCAAGCTACCATATGATCCAGAAACCCAGAGTGTATTCTGTACCATTTTGCATTATTTCTGTTAAAAGGGGGCACGATGGAGTAAATTTGTGTTATATAAAACACAATACTGAATATAGATTCACATTTTCTTTCTCTGTAATATTTAGGGGAACTTATCTTTTATTCTGCCATCCTCATGTTGTACATTTTCCTGCCCAACATGCCTCACCCTTTACTAAGTAATAAATGACACATAATATATATGAGAATATCTGGGGAAATGGAGGAGGGCAGAATTAATATAAATTAAAAAGGGAAAATAAAAAGAATTTAATATGAAGCTTTTGTTTTATATGGAAGCTTCATAGAAAACACGTTGCTCCTCAATCTTCTTAGCTGTATAGAAAATATATCCAGATTTCCCTAAACCTGAAACAGTAGCTCCTAATCAATTTGCTAGAATCAAAACAATATCAAAACAGGCACAGTCAATGAAAATTATAAAAACATTGACTGGTATTATATAACAGATGCAAGTTTTAACCAAAAACCTAAGTATCTGTTAAATATTGGTGCAGTATATATTCTCTTCCTAATACTGCTGGTTTTTGTAGCTCTGATCTTCCTAATACTGCCGTTTTTGTAGCTCCGATGGTGTTATTTCTGAGATCTGCAACTGCTTATAAGTACTGTGTAAAACTTCTTGATATTGTTTCCAAAGCCCCAATGTAAAACGTCTTGATATTGTTTCCAAAGCCCCAATGGCTATGGGGACCACTGAAGTGTGTTTCATCCACAAGCAAAATGTTTTGATTGCCAGGTTCCTGTATTTTGTTAGTTTTTCCAATTCTTTATTTTCAATTCTGGCATCCCCTGGAATCAATGATCCAAACATTTCCTTCTATTACTACTATGTCTGAGATGTTATGTTCAAGGTGTCTATCCGTTCGGATCCAGAAATCCCACAAGATCTTGACTTGCTCATTTTCTGACACCTTCTCTACCTGATGTTCCCATGGGTTTTTGGAGGCTGGCAAGTTATATTTTTTGCATAATGATCAGTGCATTAACTTTGCCACACTATCATGTCTAATTTTGTAATCTGTTTGTGTAATCTTTGGACATTTGCAGATGACATGTGACACAGTTTCATTTTTTTCCTTGGCAGAGTCCACATTTGCTGTGAGCACTAATTTCTTGGATCTTAGCTTTCATCACATTGGTTTGGAGTGCTTGTTCAAGCCTTCAGCTTCTTTCTTAAGGGTCCCCAGTTTTAGTAATGCCTATGTTGAATTATTATCATAATTTCCATCTATATTTCTCAGGTGTTGTCCATGTCCTGGTTTATTTTTCCAACTGTGTAATTTATTTTAAATGGTTGAGTCTTATACTGGGCCTTTGCTTCTGTTGTTTTAAAAATATTCTCCATTTTCACTGATTAAGTAATTTTTCTCTGCTTGTACTGATATAATCATTTAGGCTTCTTTTTTTCCTTCTCTACTACCTGCTGTATTTGCAGTAATCCATGGCCTCCGATTTTTTTGTGGTAAATATAACGTGGTGGCGCTGCGGTTAAACCGCAGAAGTCTCTGTGCTGCAAGGTCAGAAGAACTGCAGTCGTAAGATCGAATCCACGCAACGGAGAGAGCTCCCATTGCTAGTCCCAGCTCCCATCAACCTAGTAGTTCGAAAGCATGCAAATGCAAGTAGATAAATAGGTACCACCATGGTGGAAGAGTAATGGCGTTCCGTGTCTAGTTGCGCTGGCCATGTGACCACGGAAGATTGTCTTCAGACAAACGCTAGCTCTATGTGCTGGAAAAGGAGATGAGTTGGAAAAGAACACGAGCACTGCCCCCTAGAATCACGGACATGACTGAACAAATTGTCAAGGGAAACCTTTACCTATAATTTGTCCACATCACTTTTTGGATGTAGTGTGTGATGCATGTTCATTAGTTTCCCTGTTTTTCGATCCAATTCTTCGAATTAGTTTTGAGTCCAATCTATTATTCCAGCTGGATATCTAATTACTGGAACAGCCCATGTGTTTATGGCTTTGATTGTATTTTCCCATTTAATTTTTATTTTAAGTTTTCCACAGTCTTTTGACATACACTGGTACCTCGCTTAATGAGGATAATCCATTCCAGCGAAATAGCTGTAGAGCGAAATCCTCATTAAGCGAAAAAAAATCCCATTGAAACGCATCGAAAACCCGTTCAATGTGTTCCAATGGGCTGAATAACTCACCGTCCAGTGAAGATCCTCCATAGGGGTGGCCATTTTCGGTGCCTGTAAAG